GACAGTGTTACATTTAAATAACTAAAGTCCATTAAGTGCTAGACTATAGCGAATGCAAAAACCTAAGGGAATAGAAATGAAGAAGGAAGATTACACGAAGAAACCTAGTAACTTTAAGAACTGGTACATTCCTGAAAAAAGAATTCTATGCAGAGGAAGCAGAACATATAAAGGCAGAAACATAAGAAATTATTGTAGTAGGAAAAGGAGGTGAGAAATTAGATGTGATTAGAGGTGAAGCTAGGATGCTAGTTTAGGAGGATAATTGTTTAAGTGGGTTTTAACTTTTAGTTCTCATGTAGAAGTTGTGTCTAAAGTAAGACCAAACATAGTCTATTCACAGAATTGTCGTATATTTTTTAAATGAAAGTTGTGTGTGATATATAACATGATGCCTGAGTGTGATATATTTTCAGATCTGTGATTTGTTTGCCTCGAAAAAGAGAGAATAACTACTTGTCTTAGTCCATTCTAGCTGCTATAAAAATGCCATTAATTGGGTGGATTATATGGTAGAAGCAAGAGAAATTTATTTCTCACAGTTCTGGAGTCTGGGAAGTTCATGTTCAGGGAACCAGCAGATTTGATGTCTGGGAGGGCCCACTTCCTGATGCACATGCAGTTCCTTCTCATTGTAACCTCACATTGTGGAAGGAGCAAGTGAGCTCTCTTAGGCACTAATCCAGTCATGAAGGTCTGCCCTCATGACCTACTTTCCTCCCTAAGGCTCAACTCCAAATATTGTCACATGAGGATTCAACATACGAACTTTGGGAGGCCACAAACATTCACATTACAGTACCATTGTAGTAGTTGTTAGTGATTCTCTAATCTGAGGCCACCCATAGTATGGTACAATGCAGTAAAGCTGCAATGTAAAGTAAGGAGCACTAGTCTGAGAATTCAGAGACCTGAAAGCCACTGGTCTGCTATATGACCTTCTGTAGACACTTATGCTCCTTTGGCTCCAGTGTTGTTATCTGTTAGAAGAAATGGTTAGACAAATAACTCTTCAGCTATAAGGGTCTAACTCCACTTACTGTCTTCTGAAGCAGGAGGGCCACCCCTGTTCCTTCTCCTGCCTCGTACTAATCAGATGACAGTTACAATAGAATCATTCTTCTTTGCTAGGACTGCCGGTCTCTTCCCAAGTGTGGCCTTGGGCTTTCAGGACCCCAGTGATAAGTTCTCTGGTCCCTGCTTTGCACCCATACCCTATTGGGATTGTGCTTCCTTTTTCTCTGCAGAAAAAGTAAAATACTGGAAAGCATGACCCTGGTGACTGAACCAACTCAGAGACAGCAAGGGCTTTGGCAAAGGGAAGGGCAGGCACAGAGAACAGAGTAAGTAATGACTTTTTATTTTTCTTCAATGAATGGATAATTGTACTTTAAAAT